GGCAGGGTGCAGGTGCGAAGCGAGTCGTCCGCACGCAAACGGTGCAATGCCAACTTGGTATGAGCATCCCTATGATGGACGCAACACTCTATGGCCGTTGCGCGATGGCGGCGGTGACGCACTGGAGCTGGCCTTACCCAACAGCGATTCTATTGCAGAATTCAAGGTGCGGGGTGCCGACTATAGGGATGTGCGCTTGTGCATGATACTGCATTGCCCTGGGCATGACATCGCCAGCCTCACCCCTCAGATTGCAATGCACACGTCCGTTGTGCGCGTGCGCATGTGTGCGCACACCGCACCCACACTCAAGCTCACATCTCAGCACACTTGCGATACTCACCACACGCTTGCCCCCTCCCCGCATACACACACACACACGCACATACACACACACACACACACGCGCGCACACATGCACACATCCACTTTGCAACCATCTCGTGTGCGCGTACAGGTTTGAAGATTATGTTGGATCCCTGTCAACACACGGCGCCCACGGCTCGCGTGAGGCAACCCTAGCGGCTGTGAGTTGACCCAAGTGGCTGCGCCGCTGTGACCCGCGACTTCCTGGCAACGGCAATGCGCATCACAAGCAAGCCACTGTCCAACGCGTTTGTGCGGTGCATGTCTCATTGACCTTGCGCGCATTTTTGTGGTGGTCTCTGAAGCCCTTGACCAATGGTTGTGGGATGTGTCTTGTGGCTCACACTCATGAGCTAGGACTTGCCGATCACCGCAGAGGAAGTAGACGCAATGCAAGCACGAGTTCCATGTTTAGTTGCACATTCTCGTGCACACACTACCCCCCTTTGTTGCGGGAGCTGTGCTGGAACGTGTTGGTCCCGATTGGAATGCTGCAGCCTTAGCCTTCTTGCTCAGCAGCGTGTTGCGTGCCTGTGCCGTTGGCGGCGCGCCCACGTTGCTTCCCCGTGGCTAATGCGGCTCCCTGCCGTGACCATGTGCAGCCGTGCCCCCCGTGACTGGACTCCCGTGTCAGGCACGGGGCCGTGACAGCCGTGACCAATCCGTGGTAACCCCGTGACCCCGTGCAGCCGTGTCCCCCAAGATTGGACGCCCGTGTCAGGCACGGGGCCGTGACAGCCGTGACCAATCCGTGGTAACCCTGTGACCCCGTGCAGCCGTGTCCCCCGTGATTGGACGCCCGTGTCAGGCACGGGGCCGTGACAGCCGTGACCAATCCGTGGTGACCCCGTGCAGCCGTGTCCCCCGTGATTGGACGCCCGTGTCAGGCACGGGCCGTGACAGCCGTGACCAATCCGTGGTAATTCCGTGACCCCGTGCATCCGTGACAGCCGTGACGTCCGTGACAGCCGTGACTGGTCGGGAAATCAGTCACGGGTGACACGGGCGTCCAAACACGGGGGACACGGCCAAGCCACGGTAAAGCCACGGATGGCCACGGCAAAGCCACGGATGGTGCACGGGCCCACGTGGTCTTCCCGTGACAACTCGTTCTGTGAGTGTGCCACGTCCTCTCAGCCGGGGGCGACCTCTGATGAGACAGCAAGCACCCACCACCTGCAGCCGCGGCGAGCTCGCCGGTAGCAGGGCAGCACGCAACGGCGCCGGCAGCGGCGGTGCCGGTCGGTGGCCACAGTTGCGTGCGGGGGCTACATGGGAGGCGGCAGCACCAGTGACTTGACACCATGCCTTCGCTACCTGAGTGCTCAACAGATCCTGGCGTGTCCCTGCGCTGCGTTGCAATCGACCTTGCAGCCCTAACGTTTTGCTGCAGACGTCGTTCCCAGTGCAGCTGTGTTATCGTCATCAGGCTTGTGGGGCTTACTTGTGCTCTCGTCCCCGGCCCCGTTGCGCCTTTTCAGCCAAGGGGCAAGCTTGGGCTGTGCTGTTCTGTCTAGGGCCGCACACCGCTGCGGACCCACACGCACGTGCGTTGGTGCTGTGGGTCAGCTTCGGCTGCGAAAGCCTGCCTCACTCTTTTGTGCCGTCTCGCTGGCCCCGTCACTTGGTACGTCACCGCCTGCGCCCTTGGGGCCACGCTGTCGCTGTGATGCGGCCGTCTTTTCATATGCACCCCCCTTCTTCACGGTTGCCCACCTGTCAAAGGGGGCTACTGGCGCAGGAGTTGCTTATACTTTAGGATTGCGGTGCGGTGGCCCCGTCTGGTCAGGGCGGTGACACAGTACGCACCAGTGCGGCCCCATCGGGCGAGCCCGCCGTTTCCGTGCGCTGAGCAGGCGTGCTCAACTAGCGCCGGTCGACTGCGGCTTTTTAGGCGTTCGCAAATCGAGAGGCGGCATCGTTTAAGCGCAAGAGCATGCTTCAAGCATTTCATACGCGAGGCTTCAGGCATCAGTTGTGGGTTTGTTGGGCTCAAAGTTCACCAAGTGTCCACCACAGCAAGGTTCCGTCGCTCTGGCTCTGCTGATTGGTTGGTTATTGATGCCCAAGTGTGAGTTGCTAATGCCTACGTGTGTCACTTTTGGTTGTGCGCAACCTGTAAAGTACGAATCGATGTGCTTTTTTTTGAATGGGGAATCGCAGGGAAAGCTAATACGACGCCGCCCTCAGAGAAACCGGGCGGGAGAACGGCGTGCTTCCCTGCTTGTTGAGGTTTGGCGTTCCCTACATGTGTCTGGAGCAGGTGGCCATGTGCAGAGTATCAATGCGTTATGGTTGCCAGCAAGCCGTGCGACTGCTTGCTCGATTAAATTTGTCTGCACGGCAGGAATGTGCCGAGGTCACGTACAGTCAAGAGTTGGGTGCTCCTGCTGACTTCCCGACGCCCCTGGCATCTGGCGGGCGGCGAGCGCCCTTGACAAGCAGATTGTAATTTTTGTTGAATCACGATCATAGGAGTGTGTGGAACATAGTGCAGTACGCATACGGTCCTCCTCCACGGGTCCAAGCCGACGGTGTTGAGACTGTGATCTGGGAGTCGGCTCCTTTTTTTATTCGATTTGCACTAGCAGCATCAAGGGATAAAGCTTGCGTTTAAGGGTGGTAGCAGCAAACACCATGGCCGCCTTGCAAACAACGGACAGCGAGGACGATCCTATAGACAAGTACATCTTGAAGCCAGCCTCCAAGCGCTTTGGAGAGGCGGGAGAAGGCGAACAGGGCCAACAGCAGCAGCAGCAGCGCGGAGCACTGCGGACCGATAGCGCCGGTGCTGCTGTCACACAAAAGGCGTCTAGTCCCCAAGTGAGTGGTGGCGATGCACGGCCAGCAAAGAAGCGGCGAAAGACCAGGAGCAAGAGTCGCGGGAGCGGCAAACGCAAGGGGCAGAAGGAAGTCGGCAGCGACGAAGAGGTGCTCGCGACGCTGGCGACCAGCGAGGCTTCCCCAGACAACCGCAGCAGCAGCAGCGCGCCCAGCAGCTCAGAGGACCAGGCCGGCCGCCGCCACGTCAGGGCGCCACTCGCTCCTAGCAGCGGCACGCCGGCCGTCGCGCCGGCGGGCCCCGCC